TGGAGGTTCACAGAGACTAAACCACTAACCTAAGAGTATTCATGGGCCTACGTTTATGGAATTGATGGGCAACTTGGTTTTCATGTAGGTCCCCAGACAATTGGAGAGTGGGATGTTCCTGTTATAGACTCTGTTGGATCACTTTCCCCTAACTGGGCTGCCTTGTCTGGCCTCACTGGAAGGAGATGCACTCATTCCTGACACAACATGAAGTGGCAGGATGGGATGGCACAGGGTGGGGGAGGGAGGGTGGGGGTGGAAGAGCACCCTTCTCTGAGATGAAGGAGGGGAGGGAAATGTGGAAAGAGGGTGGGAGGATGGGATAGGGAAGAGAGGGGCTGTGATAAGGCTGTATAGTAAATAAATTAATAAATTAAAAAGAAAGGAAGAATAGATTATACTATGGAGCAGGCACTCTGTGATGTCTGCACCATGCAACTATCTAATAATGCCTTTCTCTGAATAAGGACACATTACTGTATATATTTATGTGTGTGCATTTTAATATATAAAGATATAAATGTGAATTTACATGTTTTGACTAATTAAAGCTCGAAAAGTGCACTATAATTAGATAAATAAGATAACAGAAACAAGAGAAAACAGTTTTATACATGTCTGTGGTGACAGTTTGAGCAGGAGAGTGAATTTACCTTTTAGTTTCTATAGTAAATAGAAAATAATTAAAGTAACTTAAAAAGGTAATGTTTAGAGATATGGAGAACATGCAAAAGGGAAAAGGTTTTTAATAGCTGTTTCTGGGAGCTTATGAAATGGAAGGGTAGAGAAGAACCCCCTTCTGGGTGGTTTGAATAAGCCTTGGTGTCATCTGACTTTTTAAACCATGATCATGGATCCCTTTAATGAAAACAGAAAGTAAGTTTGAGGAAGAGCGGAGGTAGCCTGACTTCTCTATCCTAACATCTTAGTTGTGGTGAGTTAGCTTGAGATGGCCTCCTAACCTGACTTCCCCCTCATGACCAGCCATGTCAAGGTGAGTTAGGTTGAGATGGCCTCTCACAAGCCCCTCCTCTGTGAGCTCTTGGCTGCTGCTCTCCTTAAAACCTGCTGAGTCTGGAAGGTGGTGATAGATGAGTCAGACTCCTCCAACACAATGACCACGTTTTTAAAGAGGAGAATCTGCTGTGGGTGGAGAGGGCAGAGTAGCAGAAAAGAAGCATAAATTACCCAACAGGCTTCACAGAAAGACCAGTAGCTGTTGGGGGATGGGTTGCAAGTGTCAGCTTAGTGGCAGGTGTTCCAAACAGTTGCCAAACTTAGGTGTGCAAATTTCTCCTGAAGATTTCTGGCAGGACTTTTGTGCTCCATCCTTATCCGTTATCAGTGTTTGGTAAGCATTTGGATGGGGCCTTAGCACTGGAACAGCCACCTGGCTCAACAATGGCCTAATGTTGAGGAACATGAAGAAAATGTACCCTGGGAGGGTCAGCACCTCATGACTCGCTGCAATCAAGCCTCTTATGCTTTCTCAGAAGTAGGACAACAATGAGGAGCCCCAGGGCCTCTAAGGTTTGCTCTAGACAGTAGAAAATGTGTCTTTTCCATTGCCTTCTGCTTCTACCAGCAGGTGTCGAAGTAAAGAGATTTGTGGTAGGGAAACTTAAATGTTTTTCCCAATGTCTCTGCCTTTCTAAAAGTGAGTATAGCCAGATCTTTTAGCAAAGTTCTGACCCCAGCTTCTTGTGAGGCTGAAACAAGAAAAAAAGCAAATTCAGGGCTTGCCTGGGCAGGAGATATGTCTCACTGGCAGAATGCACTCCTAGCATGCTCTGGTTTCTGCATTCATCACCTGTGCTGATAAATCAACACTCAGTATACAGAATACCTGACTGGTAAATTTCGGATCAACCTTGGGTTAGTCTAGAAAGAGAAGCTTCAAACCAACATCTAAGAGGTGAAACTTAAAGCAAAGGAGAAAGTGGTTTCAGGAAATACACTAAGATGGTTTTTAAACCCATTATATTTCTGTTTCACAGCCAAAATCATTGTATCTCATTGGATGAGTCCTTGGTATTAGAGGAAAGGAAAGGAGAAACAGAAGATGATGACTATAGGGAAAGACCAGTTCTCAGTAAATGGAATCAGGCTGTGATATAATGAGGCTATGAATTTTCCTGTGTTTGGGGATGGAGAAGGAAATGTAGGGAGAGTAGTAGCTGATATTGAACTCACTCAGCAAGTATGCCAGGGTATGTACCTCCCCAATGTCTTTTAAATAAGGAACTGAGAACTTCCCCTTGACAGTGTACTTCAGAAAATGAAAACAAAGATGAAAATTAAGAGATAATGGGATTGCAGGGCTGTGAGCTACAAAACCCACATGAGCTGACCTTTAAAAGGTATCAGAAGTATGAGGCAGGGTATTGGAACTCCCTTGGGTACATATGACAAGGATTTGAGTTCATATGTGTATAAATTAAAGGAAAATATGATAAGGAAGGAGGCAGAAGAAGTAGAGAACATCAAAAGGAAGCTGCCTATTAACCATCAAGGAAGTAGGAAGTGGTTATTATCTGTTAGGCATGGACTTCCCTCTTTGCTTTTGATTTACAGACATCACCAAGTCATTTCTCGGACTGTACAGGGGTCTGCCAAAGCAAGAACTCCACCCAAATACATGTCTGCAAGAATTCTCATGTGCTTGGTGTTGAGAAGTGTGGCTACAAAGACGATTCCATTTCACTTAAGATTAGGAAGCTACATGGTTTAAGTGGCAGAAAGAAAGATGGAGTTGTAAGTGAATTCTGTCAAGTGGTTGAAGGTCAATATGAAACCTAAAAGGCCTACAAAGCAGGAGGAAGGAAATTAGAGAACATGAGGGAACATTGCAATATTCCTGTCACAACCCAGATCACATCCAATTATGTGGATCATGAGGTGAGAATGAGGACAGTCACATATACTGTGACCTAGAAAGTTTCCCATAAGGAAAGGTTTTGAGAGGACAGTAGGAGTAAGACCTTGGGTATTGTAGACAACTGTCTTTTGCTCACATAGGGCCCCTGGAGTAGATAATAAACTGAATGTTCAGGATAAGCACTGCTTCTCTTGCCATTCCACAGGTTTTCTGCCCCCAAGTTACTTTTACTAAAAGCTAGAGCATTGAGCCTCTGGTTGCAAAGAGCATGTGGGGACTGAGACTTAAATGGTAATATTGACCTTCACTGTCTGCATGAGATTTGGATCCATCAGAACTACATTTGATCCCCTCTAGTACTGGCTCATTTTGCTGAGTAATGGGGATGTTAGTAGCTTCTCTTCCAAAGGGCCTTTGGCAAGCTTAAGTGAGTGACTACACATACATGCTTTGAAGGATGGATAGCCCAAGTAAGGCTTCCCCATTCTTTGTGGTAGTGGTTATTGTTACTGTCACCTAATAGAACTATTGGAATACAACTCAGACTCAGGAAATTATTGCTTATATAGATGCCATCTGTGATGGTAAAAGAGAGAACATGAAGAATGTTGCTAAATAGAAGGTATGGGAATGGGTCAAGTCCAAATTTCAGAGCTGCATTAAAGTCTCAAAGTCTTCCCTCTTGCACCCAAAATTGAGACAGCATCTTACTCTGTAGTTTTTGCTGGCTGGTCAGAAACTTGCTATGGCTGGCCTCCAACACAGAGAGATCCACCTGTCTCCATCTTCTGAATGCTGAAAAATGGTGTTTTTGAAGTAAACTGGAGGTCTCCCCAGGATTATACTTTTTGACAAGTGTCCTGCTCCCTTGCAAGCCCCAACCCCAGGCATCATTCTTAGCTGACAGTTTCTCACATGCATATAAATGTCATGCCAAGGTGCACAGTAGACATCAGAGAAACTGTTATAGCATCTGTTGTCCATGGGACCCTTAACATCAGAATCATTTTCTTCTTCTGACCAGTTCCACTGTCATCAGCACCCTAAACAGTTGTTGTGGGCTGAAATGTACTCTCCATATATTCACCTTCTAATCTTTGTAGCTGCGAATGTGATCTGAGGGAGAAATAGAGTCTCTACAGACACCTTCAAGTAGTGGGTTTAAGTGGACCTTAAGCCAGGTACTGGTGTTCTCATAAGAAGAAATAAAATTTGTCACGAAGAAGAAAAGAGATACCGAGAATAGACTCACATAACAGAGTAATATGAGTGCAAGCTGAGTACTGCCAAGGATTCCCAACATCACAGAGGCACCAAGAAAAGGCAAGGATAAACCAGGACCTTCCCAACCTCTTGGTTTCATATTTAGGACTTCTAGAACTCAGAGGAAATTTGAGATTCAGAAAAATAAACTGATACACTGTGATATAAAATTAATGTTAAAATATGTTTATCATATTCTAAGTTCTCTATAAAAATGGAAAGAGAAATGAACACTGTGCATTAAAAAGTTAATTATTTTCTTTGAGTTCCAATTTTGATAATTCCTCTCTGGGTATTCTAGGGAATGTTGTGGTTCTCGTGAGATAAGGGCATGGATTTAACACAAGTATGGTGTGTAGCATGCTTGATAATTCTAGAGAATGGACAGGAGAGTCTGAGGATAGGCATTAGAAACAAGAAAGGAAGAAATGTATAGCTTTAAAATAATAAAAAGGACAAAAATAAAAATGTAAATGATAGAGGGAAATTCCAGGATGCCAAAATGGCTGTATGTTTTCCTAGGTTTGATTTGTGCCTTTGTTTATTTAAATAGAATCGGGCTTGCCATGTTTTCCGGGCTGGCCTAGAATAAAGCACTATTTTGTATTAAAGAAATACCACCTTTCCTTGAGTCTAAAATACAGTTCTGTTGCAGTTTTAATCAGAGGAAGGGAAGATTTTACTGTTATTATTAGTTTGGGCTTGATAATTACACACTGTTATTGATTGGCATTATTGCTGAATCCCCACTGTCCCCATGCCAAGCAGCTGTCTCCCTGCCCTTAGCTTTCAGGAAGGGCAAACAAAGTTCAAGGTGAGTGCCTCAGATTTATTTGCCACAACAGATGCTCCCTACAGACACTCCAGCTGGACTGAGGACCACACCATGTCTCTGCTGGCTGGGCTGCTGCTCTGGGGTGAGATGTCCTGGGGCTTAGAACTCCTGGGGTTCTAGGTATGGTATGAATGGAGACTCACAGACTCTGTCTCTGCAGGTTTCTCTCTGGACCCAGCCAGTGCTGCAGCCACCTGTATACTCAGGGATGCCATGGGACTGAGTGAGCATGGGTTGTGGGGAGCCCTTCTCCTAACAGCAGCAAGCTAATCCTGGTTCCTTTTCACTCCAGATCCTACCAGTTACCCTATCCTATGGGCAGACCCTCAGTCTTGCTAGAACAAACCTGGCACTGACATGTAAGGCACACAGGCTGCCAAAGACTTCCAGCTGCGCATAATGGGCTGGTCCAGGAGCTTTGCCCATGTTGATATACTTTCCATGCCATACCAGTTCCCACCGGAAGCAATTACAAGTGACCATAGGAACCTCTACCACTGCCAATCAGGCTTGGACTGCTCTGGTAGTTAGACAGAGATAAGAAATCTCATGGAAGTGGCAGGGCCAGGTAACTAGCACCATCATGGGGTCAGGAGGCAGCAAAGGGAAGTAGATGGTGGAGCCTCCATCCATGTCCCCTGGTATCTCTTAACCTCAGTTAGTTCATCTGTCAAGTGAGGATATTTCTGTTGTCTCCAGAGGTTTATGGGTATGCCCTATAGAGGGATGGAGACAGGCCAGGCACAGAATAGTGTCCCGTACCCTTTCTCTTGCTCCTAACTCCACCCCTACCCTTGCCTCCCTTATATTTTCTGAATCTGGAGTCTGTACTCTCCCTGACTCCAGAGGGAGACTGAAGCACTCAGCAATTGTGCCCTCCCCCATCCACAGAGCCCTTGTACCCGCCCCGGCTTTTTGCTGACCCAGTGTCCTGGATGACACCTGGCCTGACCACATTCTTGGTGTGCCTTGGAAGAGTTCGGGGAGTAACCTTCGTGCTGAAGCGGGAAGATAATGGTTACCAGGAGATAGCTGAAACTGATGGTGTCCTGGCTGTAACTGAGCCAGGAGATGAAGAAAGGGCCATCTTTGTAGTCCATCAACCTGGTAACTACAGCTGCAGCTATTATATTCATGAAGAATGTGCCTCTTCTGAGCCCAGCCATATTGTGACCATAAAGGAGTATGGTGAGTGTTGAATCCCAGCACTGAAATGCTCTGGGTAGGACTTGATGCCTAGTGTCCAAAGATAAACAAGCCAGTTGTTCTTCCACTAAGTGGTCAGTGGAAGTTTGGGGTGAGACAGAGGACAGCTCTGAGTGGAATCATAAAAAGCAGGGTGTCCTGGACTCCTGACTCAGTGATCTTCCCTGCCTTACAGTCAAACCACTTCCACCCATGTTGACAACCTCAGAAGATTCCACAGTAGTCCCACCCCGGATGGCCCAAAGGATCCTTGTTTGTGTGGCTCCTCTGAATGATGTTGAATTTCAGCTGAGGCAGGGCGAGTTGGTGCTGAAGGTCCCCAGCATCAGCGCCAGCCCAGAGAGAGTCAGCTTCTATCTGAAAATTTCAGACATGGGTGACCAGAGCCCTTTCACATGCCGCTACCGTCTAAACAGTATATCGGACTGGTCGGAAAACAGCAATCCTGTGGAGATAATGTGGAGTGATGGTGAGCCTCACTGCAGGGCTGCAGGCCAGGGCAGGCTGAAAAGGCATAGGTGGTGGTCAGAAGTGAGCAGGATGGGGCCCCAATATCAGAATCCCCAAACCTGAGAACATTGTCCAGACAACCTGAGTTTGCCAAGCTTCGAATAAGACAATTGACACAGCAAACTTGACACCTGCAAAGAACTGGATCACCACAAATGTCAGGCACAGGTCCTTATGGGATACCACTTCTCAGGGTGACCTTGCAAGAGTGATATGGATTTGCCGCCTGCCCAAGGTTTGCCAAGGTTGAAAGGCTGAGGCACAGTATTAAGTATGGTGGTACTGGCTGGCCTTCAGAAGCAAAGACAGAGAAAGAGAGAGAGAGAGAGAGAGAGAGAGAGAGAGAGCTGGGAGGTCACTTTAGGCAAAAGACTTAACCAAAGCATGGGCTGGACCACTCAGGGGGCTCTTACCATGCCTTCAGGCTGGGTTGATGTGTCTGATCCTCCACAGAGACTCTACAAGCCCCAGCGTTTACTGCAGAGCCTTCATCTAATGAGACTCTCAAGGCTGGTTCAACAGTGCAGCTTCGATGTACTGCACCCAAAGCACCCAAGGCTGGCCTGCGCTTTGCCCTGCATCGGGAACACCTAGGTGAGCGCAGCCTGCTCCAGACGCTGAAGTCTTCTGGTAACGAAATTGTCTTCCAGCTGCACAACCTCTCAGCAGCAGACTCTGCCAGCTACAGCTGCATCTACATTGAACGGCAACCGCCCTTCTCAGGATCTGCTCCCAGCGAGCCTGTGGAGCTGATGGTGAATGGTGAGCTGAGTGCAATCATCACGTGGATGGGAAACTCAGTGGGGTGCTAGAGAAGGGAGCCGTGATCCCATGAGGGGCCATCGTTTCTGGGTTGTGCTTTAAAAAGGTCTTGGACTCTGAGGTCCTCGAAGTGGGCTCCCCCAGGTGAAGCATGGCACTCTGGTCTGTTTCTCAGTCTAAGTGGGAAGGTGGCAGGTGAATCACTCAAGAGTGTTAGGATTCAAGATTTTCATACTCAGGTGCATCCTCCTGGGCACCTGGGCACAGTTTCCCTGTGATGCGTGCATGGCAGCTCCACTCATACCAGTGACTGCCTGGGCTGGCCTGGGGCAGTCCCCACTGGCTTGAGCTAATGTGTAACTTTACAGAGTCCTGGAATTCCTGGAGTCTATTTGTTCCTCTGATCTCCTCATCAAGGTCTCCATGGGTCAGAGGTCATCCAGGCAGAGATCAGGCAGAGGCTCCAGCCAGGCTTAAGTTTGACCCCAGACCTTTGAACCATGCTCTGACAGAAGCTGTTTCCTGAGAGATCTCTTTACCCCTCTGGGGAGGCAGTGAATCTCTAGACCAAGCCAAAGCCTGGGAGAAGATCTCATCTCCTATGATGATGTTGGGGGTTACACACCTAGAGGAGATACAAGCTTTATTGAATGGGTTCCCAAAGAGCAAGGCAACAGAGGGAACTGCATGATTCAGAGTAGGCAGTGCAAAAGAGGGAGCCAGAGTAAGCTCACCATGGGGCCTGGCAGGAAATGTCCCTAACTGAGTGCTATCCCTCACACCCCTCCAGGGCCACCCCCACCACCAACGCTCCAGGCTCTATGGAGAAATAAAGTGTTTGCTGGGGATGACGTTGTCCTACGCTGCCAGAGCCCCGTACCTGGGGTCACTATGGAGCTGCTGCATAATCTCAGATTTGTGCCCCACCAGATACTCAGAGTACATAACACCTGGAGTGACCTGGGACTGACTTCCGTTGGTCCCCAGCATACTGGCAACTACACCTGCCGCTATATCTCCTGGTGGACTGAGCCCTTTTACTCAAAGCTCAGCAACCCCGTAGAGCTCCTTGTAGAGGGTAAGACTTCCAGAGCTGTGATTGGGTTTTGCCTCTTGATCTTTGTTGGCCTGTACATTGGTGAATTATGTGAGGTAGCCTGGCACACAAAGGCCCTGTGGCAATTTTCTGGGTCAATTCATCCATTTCTTTGTCTAGGAAACTGAAGTAGCTACAGACACAGGATACAATGTTGTTCTTGGAAAGAGCTGAACACAGGCGGAGCTCCTCTTCTTCCTGCTGCAAGATGGATTTTCCTCAAACTCCCTGCACTTAATAAAAGTCAAGCAAGAGTTTGTTTAAAGTGTGTCTCCATTTGTGGGTCCAGTGCAGCTGCCGGTGGCAAGGGATGCTCTGCCAAATAATGGGATGCTGTGTTTTTTAAGATGTAGGCTCAGGGTTGATCCTAAGGGCTGAAAGGAGAAGGTCTGGTCCTTATCCCACATCTCTCCAGATCCCCTTCTCTTTGTCTGGCTGCCTCGTAGTTCCAAGTACTTCTTTCCTTTCCCGCAGGAGTGTGCATGCAGCCTGGAGCTCTGGCCAAGCCCATCTTAGCTTGGAAGGGTCTGTCCCTACCCTAGCAGTAAGCTAGAAAATGCTACATTAGAGTTCTGGCTGTGTTTTTAGGTTTTACAAATATGCTCTGATGGATGGCATCAGAGTGTGTCTAAATCAGTGCATTATCTGAAGTGACTCAACTAGAACAAACCAAACAGCAAAACATCTTCAGGGCTTGGAATATTTTGTTCCCTTCAGGCCTCAGTGGAGCTGGAGACTGAGACCTGAAGAGTTGATCCCTGAAGCAGAATAAGGATCCTCAGCTCAGAACCTCCCTGCCTCCCTGCCACATATCCCATCAACACCTGATGCTTCTGGTCCCCACAATAACTCAGAAATATTTCATGTCTTCCTGCTAGCACTGCTCCTTCAGTGCCTTTGTTCAGAGGGTGCTTCTTTCTCCCTTTGCATCCCACTTGGATATTAAAATACTGACTAATGATTCAGATCTGAAGGATCATTTCATTCATTCACTTTTCCCAACAATTTCTAATTAGAAGTTCAGAATAATCCAGAGGCCAATTTGGTTAGTGGTGATCCCAAAGTACAACAAAATGTGGTCCGCATTCTTAAAGAATGTACAGTCTGGAGCAGAGCAACGTCTTAATGAATGAAAACTGTTACCCAATAAGCATGACAACCTCAGATGAGACCCAAAGCCTACAATAAAAGTAAACAAATAAGAAGGAGGATGAGGTGGCCTGCATCTGCAATTCTAGTGTTCTTATAGTGAGATGGAAGGGAGACAGGAGAAGAGAGGACCACCTAGCTTGGAGGCCAGAGTGATCAGAAAGAAGAGACATCCTGCCTCTACATAGTAGGATGAGAAAACAAACTCCCAAAAGTCAACTTCTGATTTGTGTGGACACAACCTGGCACACACACACCCTCACATCTAATAATACACGAAATACACACATCTAATAATAAATGAAGAGTTTAGTCAATTGCAGCAGGATGCAGAGTAAGATGAACTCATAGCCTAAGATGCAGAGGAATAACGCTAATGACCTCACAGGGCTGCTGCATAGACCTCCATCTTCAATACCTTGAAAACACCATGATAGGTCACATAAGGCTCTTTGGCATTGTTGACTGCTCACATAGCTGGAAATGTAAAGGAGAAAACAGGAATTCTAGGAGGTAGCAATCATTTCACCTAATATTATTCCCAATTCAGAAATGAGTAAACACTAAACACATGTCCCAACAAGAGGTTAACAAACAGCAGAGCTGATTTTTATTCCAATACATATCAGCCCAAGGCATGTCTCTTCATCATTAACTCAGCCTACCTTTAATTTGTCCTAGGAATTCAGCCACCAATGATCCCAAGGATGACTTTCTTGTTTTCATCTTGAGACAGGATCTCACTATATATCCCCAGCTAGCTGTGAATGCCTGACCTTCTTAATCCTCCTGCCTCAGAATGCAACTCACTGGGATTATAGTCATTTGCAACTGTGCCCAGTGCTACTGTGAAGACTTAACAACAGGAAAAAACACAGTTGTATGGGCTGTTTACACAGGGTGGAGTCCTAAGCAAACAGAATGTTGCCAGTGCAAGCAGGACTTGGTGTGAGGCTGGGAACACTCTCTGATGGGATAGTCCTTACCATGAAGCAGGTCTGCCATGGTGTCCATGGAGAGTGTGTGTGATGTGAGCTGAGCATCAGTGATTTGAAAGTGGAACAAACTTGAGGTGATTTCTGAATATTTTGGTCACTAGGGCAGTGTCCTTTGACAACATAATTAGTGGATATTCACTTTTCATCTGTGCAATGAAGATGGCACTATCTACTTCATGGGGCTATAATAAGGGTGAAATTAAGTAATCACACGTGGGAGCGTGCATAATTTGTTTCCTGGGACACCACCTGAGCTGAATTCTCATGAACTTCTATGTCTTCCAAATGTTTTTCATTATGCTAAGGAAGTGGGCCAGGGGCCATCCATTTCCTTTGCCACAGAGTGAGCAGAAGTCTGAGACCCTTTTCCATATGGTAAGTGATATCTTGGCAGCAACATTGCCAGGGAGAGGCTTGGGACAAATGCTCACGGTATTGAACAGAGCTTGTGAGAGGCAAAGTAGGAGGAATAGGGTCCTTCTTAGAAGCTATCACAGGAGAGAGAAGCTACCCACCTTTGTAGAAAAGAGCAGTTAATTGTATCATTAAGAATACTTAGCATAGCCCCAGTGCTTGCTCAAGCTAATTAATTCTGTTCAAATCCACAAGAGATGACTGAGTATGTCAGAGAAGAGCTCTGTTTCTAACTAGGGATGGAAGAAGCATGTTGTCCACAATGTTTGATGAAGACAAAAGCTGCAATACTGCTTCCTAGAGCCAAGTTACCCTGGACAAGAAGAGACTATTAAGCTCTGGTGGGTATTTAACCATTTACCACATGTGTCTTTAAATTGCCCAAGGAAATAACAACAGAAGAAATTCCAGTTTGTCATTTTCATTCTAACAATGTGCCCCAAGAGACAGTACCAACAAATTACAGGGTTTGTTAAGCTAGTGTGGTGGTTGGAATCAGTTTTACCTCGTTCTCGGGAACTCAGGATCAAGCCCCTGGGTGAAGATATGACTTGCAGTTAGTGGCGCAATTCCACAGCCCTTTTACTCTGTGTTTTGCCCAGTACAGTTTAGGAATGCTTACAAAACACACTATTTCATTGCCTACATTGCAGGACATTGTCAGCTATGAGAGATTAGAAGAGACAGACAAAGTCACAGAATAAAAGAAATACTGAGAGCATGTGCGACCACACACACACACACACACACACACACACACACACACACACAAACTCAACAACAAAAACAGATAGATGTGTGAACATGGTTCCTGTAAAAGCTGTATTGAACTGTTTGGAAAGATGGTTAGATGCAATAACATCAAAGAAATGGTTGGTAGAGTAAAACTCCATCCTCTAGGCATAACATGACCACTAGTGTTTGAAATCAGAGCAGAGCTTGAAACCTCCCAGCAAGACCAGCAAGACACTCTCAAAATACACATTAACAGATCTGTTAACATTCTGTGGTAGGACAGGAATCATCAGCTCCTCACTAGACAGTCTACCTACCATTCTCCTGTTTCCACTGCTTGGGCAATGCTATAGTTAGAGAAAATGGGAGGCTGATGGAATAGGGACTCAAGTGAAAGGGCAGTTTCCATATATTGTCACCAATGTCAACACGGAGCTTTTCGGTGACACAGTTCTCACTGAGTCACCTATGTTCCTAGAAAAATCCCTCACTCATGCTCCTTCCAATAACCCCACATCCTCACTGGTTCAGGATGTAGACTTGGAAGGAGACATGTCTGAGGTCAGCCAGTGTCCAATCTGAAAAAAAAAAGGACATTTCTATATAGCTTCCTGAAAGTGTACACAATCTTTGTTCAAGTACAGATGAGATATACAGCTTCTTCATAGTACAGGAATTTAAGGCACATACAGAACTTGACCATAGTTCCCTGAAGTTGAGAGTGACATGTGTCATTACAGAGGGCTAGTGGCTGCACACACAAACACATATATACATATTCTAGACAGGGAGGGCCCCAGGAATGAGTATGGATTAAGGAAGTAAGAAACCATATTTGCCTTCCAAGGTAGTGACAGGGCTGGCAACTTCTTCCAGAATCTCCTCTCTCATGTGGTGGTATTCTAGTTGGTCGAGATGGAAATCTTGGCCTGCATCCCAAAGAGCTGTGGGACATTATCAGGCCTCATTCTGGGCAGGGTGGAAGGAAGTTCTGGTATTTAGGTTCATCCTGACTCTAGACTATTCCATTCACAAATAGTCTCAAAAGTTCTGGCTCCTGCTCTAAGGTGGGCATGACACTGCAAAGGGGGCTTTGCAACCTCCTCCCTAAAATACAGAAAACATTCTGACATACAGATTTAACTTTTAAAAAATCTTGGAGGGAAGAGGTACATCTTTTGAGAAGGCATATCCCTGCTCCTAACAGACTGTTTAGACATATAACACACATTTCTCTAAAGCCTGGAAATTATGTCTGTTTCTTTAATGGAAAATGCCCTCCACAGAGGTTCTCAACCATGGTAGCATTCTATGGAGACAATCCTCCTAGAAAGCCCATGTCCTAGATTCTCTCTTTAAACAATTAGCATCTCATCTCTAGCTTATCCAGGGTCACAGTTGTAGGCAGAGGGCTCTGGTGTGTGTATGATGAGCTGCTGCATGTATATATGAAGTCTGCATGTGGTCCTTGCAAAGTGTAGTAGACTGAAGAAAATTCACGTCTGTGTCTTCGCTCCCAAGAATGTGAATCTTAATGTTTCAATCTTCTTAATGAAGGGAGACAACAGAACTATTTATTTGTAAGTTCAAGCATAAGTACAGTATTCCAAGTGTATCCTATTTGTTGGGAGCTAATAGACGTCATGACACCCTCCGTTCTTCCCCTGATATACCAGTTATAAATACAACTGCCACTACCCAATCACTCATACCCAATAACTTGACTCATTAGCTCATCAGGTAAGTTTCATGGCTGGCCTCACTTATGTGGACCATAATCTCTTAACTGAGAGGTTAACTTCTGCCCACTAATATTCTCCTTTAAGCCATGCAAGTATACAGAATCCTTGAGCTGTATTTCCCAAAATCCTGTATCAGCTGCCTTCTCTGGTCCTTTGCCTATAGGAAACATTATGGAGGTACTAGAAACCCAAGGAAGGGATAAGTGGGTTTCTGTT